CCCCAAAACCCCAAAACCCCAAAACCCCAAAACCCCTTCCCAGGTTTAGAAAATGGAAATAAAATTATTCATAGGGAATGCTTAGCGCAAACCTTGCTGTTCTGTCTGATGCCATAGAGTTACTTTGTAGGTAACTCATCCTTGAAGTAGGGCCAGTGGCCCTACTTTTTGAGGAGATAGAGAACCTATGCTTGTAAACTCCTAAGCGTCTTAAGCCAAGAGGGTTAGCATACTTCGCTTTAGGATCATCAATGCTCTTGTAATGGTTATTAGCTCCTAGATCAGGGAGTAGGTTTAGAAGCTCAGACTTATTCCCGGTTATCTGGGCAAGACTGGTGCTCTTCTTCATATTAGGGTCTGGTCTAATTCCAAAATCGGTTATTACACTTCTCTCTTTACTTTTACTATGTGATAGCTTAGAGCTGGCCTCCATCATGCTCTTACTAAGGACCTTGCTAGTCTTAGGAGGATTACCCTCACCAAAAGAGAAGGAGTTAAGGTTCTTTGATGAATAAGAATCGTTTGCCAGAACATCCTTAAGTGTGAAATTTCTGTCAGGGTACAACTCTTTGATTGCTTCATTGGCAGCTTTATAGTCGTTATTTTTCCTCAAGGTAATCCATGACAGTAGATTCCTTCTTAAACTGTTCGAATTGGCTAAGCATATTAGTAGAGAGGGAATGAATTCTTTTCTCAGTTGTTTTTCTTTCCTTCTCTTCTAGTTGTTGCAGTTCTCCGTGGATGTAATTAAAGTGAAATTGGGGTGTGAAAGAAGACTCTCTTTTGGAATCGCTATCTTTTTGAGGCATATCAAAAATGGAAGAGTTTTCTTGGCAACCAGGTTTCACTCTTACAAAGCAGTTTTCTACCTTACTAAACCATATCAGGCCATCGTCATCTGCTAGGAAGGTACACTGCATTCGGAGGATTTCATAATTATACAACTTGCTGATATAATATCACATCTTAATTACTTGCTTTCTGCAATATTCTTTGGGATTGTGTTTCATCAGCCATTGATCAGCTTTGAATTTTCGGAAATTGTAAACAATATGGTTCATTGGGTACTCCTTGCTGATTCTGGAGTAGAAGTCAATCTTAATATTCTCTCCAATCCCTTTCTTCGCCTTAACGCAGGTTTGGATAAATTCAATCTTTTTCCAGTAATCATCATTAGGCCTCCTGGTCATGACTCTGAGGAACTCATTTTCAGAGACCGGCTTGTAAATTTTTGAAATAAATGGCTGCTTTTCTTCCTTTTGAATGTTATTATAAGCGCCTTCTTGGTTGTAATATTGGATTATAGCAATATCTCTGTAGAAATTTCCATGCAAGGTCTTTCCTTGGGGAAGATTAAACTCTTTGTAAGCTTCACCTTTGGAGAAGCTGATGGAAGATACATCAATTTTATTAGTCTTGATAGTGCTGGTGACTGCTCTAGACTCTTCCTCTTCTTCCTCCATCATATCGAGGGTACTACCTACTTGATTCCGCTTCCTTCTTTCTCTGGTAATAGTTGGGAAATTTGACCTGATTTCTGTAGTCTTTAGCTTCTTAGGATTTCTGATTGGGTGTAAGAAGTCGTTTGCATCTGACTTCACTCGTAGAACTATTTTGCCTTTACGAAAGAAAACTGTGTCAGGAAGTCTAATATGTCAATTCCTGACCTTATGATGAGGACTAAAAAGGTGCTGGATCAACCACAAGAAATCAACCCTCTGCTGCTTGATAAATGAGAGAGCTTTGTGTCTAATCTTATGGCGAGCGTTGATCTTATATTCTTTAAGTTCTCTTGAGATCTTCACATTTCCAAAGGATTTCAAGGTTTGTCTACTGCAAGTAAGTCATAAACATGGAAACACTCCATTTTTGTCTTCATCTAGATCATGATGGCTTCTATGGATCAGCTTGAGAGAGCCATTTATGGGTGTTCCAATTTCTCTGTCTTGGCTATTCATATTTTTGGATAAAATTTACTAATTCAAATAAAAATTAAGATAATGGGGTTTTGGGGTTTTGGGGTTTTGGGGTTTTGGG